TCTAGTTATAGGTCGGTGCGAGGGGATGTTATGATTCTTTTAAGATGAAATAAGATGAAAAGATCTTCTTTTCACCTGTAATGCGGTTCTGATGGATCATAAACTAACTGCCTATTCACCAACTTTATGGAGCCGATTACCAGTGCCAGGTACTTGTCATCTGAGCTGCGTATGACTGTAGAAGCAGAGTTGGTGAGTCCATGTTTAGGCAACTAGCCTCTTAGCATTAGCTTCTCTCAACTTGTCTCTGACGAGTTTGGCATATTTCTCAAATGTCCATATATATAATGTTTTGACCTGAACCAGTGGAAGCTATTTATGCATGTATGGTGCTTTAGCTCTTATTATTACATGACATGCACAGTAATATATGTACTTTATCACTGAAGTTTTACACTGCTGTGAACTGAATGTATTTGTGTTTAATGATAAACAGGATTATTATAAATGTTATAATAATAGATTCTGGTCGAGCTACATGTCCAATTTGCAATGCCGATTTGTCTCGTGGTGGTAAGGACCCTAAACAGTACACAACACCGCCGCTGTTAAAACATTTACGTATGAAACATCAATGGACTGAGGATGGAATAGGATTCGGTATTCGGGTTCGGATTCGGCAGAATCTTAACCAGTGGATTCGGTATTCGGCCGAACCCCAAAAACCTGGATTCGGTACATCCCTACAAAAGACATTTGTATGACATGTATAGTTTTCTTGTGCTGCACTTTTCTGAGCGCTGGAACCACTGCAATATTTGTATTATTTATTTATGTATTTATTACTAGTCCAATCTATTCTAAAATTCTGGCAAAAAAATTCTGACAAATCTGATTCCCATGTGGTTAAATACTTTGGTTGAATACTTACACACCCAAAACTCCAGGGGGGAAACTAATTATTGTGACACTCCTTAATACACAGCACTAATACTTGACACTTGACACAGCTAAGAATGACCATTTCTGTCTGATCTGAGCTTATGTTAACCTCTCATAATCTCACCTGAGTCTACCCCACATAATACTATCCCCCATTCATTTCTATAAGAATGTTTTTCTTTCACTCCCCCACTGGCAGACGCAGGAAGTGTGGTGTGGCAGCAGCGTCTTCGGAGACAGAAGAGAAAGTTTGGGGTCTCATTTAGTCAGACAAGGTTTCCCCCTCACCCCCTGTTTGTTCTGCTCCTACAAAAACAGATCTGTGGTGAAGGGGGAGTTAGACTCCCTAAGAATCAATATAGCCAGAAAAGATTCTTGTTCATGCAAGTCCACGCATTCAATTTGCAGGACTAGCATGAAATGTATTATATTGTGTATGCAATGATATTGAAGTGAATCTACTGTACAGGCAGAGCTTGTGCTGATATAAATACGAGTAAGCCCAGTTCCTTTTCGTAACAGTCTAGCAATATTTCAGCTACATGTATAAAAACAAAAGATTCTGCATGGAAGTTTATTAAAGAAACATTTGGAGTTCTATTATTTTGCCATCTTGGCAAATCTCACTCTTGGCTCAAAAAGTTACAGTACACAAATGTATGCATCATGATGAATATAAAGGATGATTAACTACAGGTAAGATTATAGTTACGCCATTAAACTAAAATTACTGTATTGAAATATGCAATATATTATAAAAGTATAGGCAGAAAATGGATCCCAACTCTTTCCCCAGGAGTGATCCTGCAACTACTGTACTATAGTATTTTTTTCAAAAACAAGTGCTCACCCGCTGTTTGGTTAGCACACAAGCACAAGACAACAAATACTGCTGTGCAGCTGTGTAACGGCGCCATATGAAGCATGTAGGACGTCCTGGTGCCCAAGACAAACATCTTGATATTGACTTGAGCCATGATCTACAGTAATGTTTCAAGTGTTATGATCCATTATATTATATATAAAATAATTAATGTTTAGTCTTTATTTGAATTTGTTTGTTGACATTTCTTGTTGTTGCACTATTGTGTTGATATTGTTCATATATGTGTTACATGTATTGCTTTTGTAATGTTATAATAACACTAAATAACACATGTTTGCACACTTCTTCCTTGCACAATTTTTTTTTTCTTCTTGAGTGATTCTATCCATGCCATATGTGACATATAAGTTTCTCCTGTGTGAGATCAATAAAGTCTATCTTGGTCTTATCTTATCCTAAATTGCAATGTATGAATTGTACATCATAGAATCATTTCGAAGCATTGTCTGTATAGCTAAATTCACACAGGCCCACTTCTGGGTGCTAAGAGGATATTTACACCTCTCATTCATCTTAAATCTTTCCCCCCCTCCTGCTCTGTTTTTCCCTCCACTTATGAGCCACCACTGCTGTAACAGTAACTCAAACTTTGAGGTTGTCAGCTCTCTCCCTCTGCTCTCCTCTGCCTGTGTACTTAGGCCCAGTGCAGACGCCATGGAAATGAAAGCACCAAAAGCCAAGGGATGTGAACTTCAGATTGTATAGGGCAAGGTGGGTGGCAAGAAAAGTCAGCAATCTCTAAATGTTTGTGATTTACTTTCACTTTTCTAGAGGAGGGTCTATTCGTTCGTTGTCTCTGTGGAAAGGATATTTTGAACATAATTTAATACTGCGCCTAAGATTTATCTGCAACCGCCAAAAGGTGGGGCCCTGAAACTTAGAGAGATGGAGGTAAAAAGTAAAATAAACAGATGTAGGAAAAAGGTTATAACATTCAATAGCAAATTAAATCATTAGCCCTACTTCACTGTAAGGATTCATATTTTTTTTATATAGAAAGGGCCGGTATTTAGTTCAAAATGTAGGATCTTCATGAATATTTGTGTTGGCTAAATTATTTTGATATTGAAAATGAACCAAAGACTGTATTTAATGTTCTTTGCTGTCCCTGTTCAGTGATAGGAGTCCTGGTTTGTCCTAGCCTGGTCTTACCATACCATCGTACTAATTTCATTTCATTGGCCGCCATTCACCGCCATTGCTAAACTACAACCAGCAAATTCGCCGCAAACTCTTGACATCACCGACACCTTCCTACAACACCCACCTCCCCCGCTCGCTGAATGGTCGGAGCCGATACAACCCAAGTAACTGCAGCCACTAGGATCAGACCCAGATGTATATGGGCAAAGATATTAAAGCGCAGTTTACGGATGGCTAAGGCCAGGCTAGGTTTGTTCTAACCTCATCTGAATGTATATATCAACAAGTGACAAGTGGCTGATATGATAAATATTAACAAATGCAAACCATTTTCTGTGTGTGCATTTCAATATATTTTATGAAATTGATAAAAAAAAAAAAAAAAAAAAAAAAATCAGTCTAGATGAGTCTAATGCCCAACATAAAAGTCAGAAAAGTCAAATGTTACAGTTTTATAGTGTTATGAGTGAAGGGCCGCAGTGGATGGACATTGTGGATGTTTGAACAGCTGGTGCAGAGGTGAGGTAAGCAGGCACAGGTCATCACGTGTCATCATTAGGCAACCTTGTCTTGTTGACGGCTGCCAGCCTGATCTACAGCTAATACATGGGCCGTGACAGTAATGATGAGCTGCACTGATGCTGGGGCCTTCTTCTCGCTCTCAAAGGAGACCCCTGTCCTGCTAAATAAGCGCTCTAATAACTGGAATGAACGGCTCAGCTCGTGTTTGCCCCGGCTCGGCTTTACAAGTGACTAAACACACAACTAACGCGTTTTTAAACTTGATTTATTCATGTTCCGCAGCAGTGGTTCAGAAGGCTACACACTTTGAAGAGTATTGAGCATATGATAAATTGGTAAGAACATTTTGAACTATAATGGTGATTCAGGCAAGGTAAAGATACACTACTAATACATGTATTATTTGTAAGCATTATCACACCAGCTATTGATTCACTGGCTAACTCGAAAACTAAAGATTCCAAAAAATGCTTTGCTGATCTTACAAATTCATTCATATTATCATTCAGAGAAAGAGATCAGTCCCAGTAACATTAGATGCACTTTAATGCAATGTAATATAATGAATGTATACTCTAACAATAGCAGCTTTATACAGTCTCACATGTAAATATATTTATCCGTTTTATAAATATTATCCTATACATGCACTATTGCACTACTGGTTAGATGCTAAACTGCATTTCATTGCATTGTTCTGACTTTGTAATGGCAATAAAGTTGAATTTCATCTAATCTAATCTAATATGATGCCATTTCTCATTCACCTGTACATTAAGGGTTAGGGTTAGCTGATAAGATTATGGATCCTTCTTCTATCTCTGTTCTAATGTCCATCCTACTGCTGTATTAGTTTTCATTTGCCTTTAATGGATAATGGTGTTTTTGTTTTTACGTCCAAGTTTTTCACTTTAAACCCAGCTGACACGTCCACGTAAACAACATGTAAACAAAGTGGAGATGGAAACAGATGTGGACAATCACGCACGCCTGTTAATACATTTCTGTGATGCTCCGTGAGTGACTTTTTAGAGGGTGTCTGATTTCCAGCGGGTGCCATGGCTTTAGCTTCACAGCATTTTCTGGAACATGGCAGCGGGCCGCTTCGTTGGGACATTTGAAAAAAGCATCCCGGCTTTTCTCAATATTCACATTTTTAGTCAAGGCAGAAAGTAGAAAAAAGTGAATAAAAACATGTGATTTATGTGAATTAACTGAATTCTACAGTGATCTACAGTAAATGGTAACTGACAAAAGCATTTGTTACAGGCAGAAGATCCTGAGCGCTCATATTTAATGCAAATTCTGACATGAAAATGGCCAAGAGGCCAAGAGTAGTCAAAACTGTTTGAAAATCTTGAAGAAGCTTTATGGAATGGCTCAGTTGGTCCTATTTCACAATCAAAATAAGATGAAAAGACCACCAGTCTCAAGATTTCCTGACTACTTTAGGAGAATTCTTAGCGACTGTACAAGACAGTAAAGCTCCTGTCAGACGAGGGGAATTTATAAATGAGCTACATATTGCACCCATGCGAGACTACAGAAATAGGCCGAGCAAACTTACGTGGGCCGTCCTGGCAGAGGTGTAGGGAGGGGATCTGCAACACAAGAGCAGGAGGATTTGTGAGCCCTGGAAATACTATATTGTTCCCAGATTTCTGAGCGCAGAAGCTGCCAACTACAAACAACAGTCAGGCTCTGGGAGACCAACAGCAAGCAGCCAAATGTGTTGTAAGAAAAGTTAAAAGGGAAATGAATATGATCTGAATAAAACAAAAAAAACATGAGTAAATAAAAACAAAAATACATGTTTAATCACAAGCTTTTTCTGTTGTTTTTAACCCGAGTTTTTTTGCTTTTGTTGGTGGTGCCAGTCGGGCTGGTCTGAGTATTTCTAAAACTGCTGATCTTCTGGTCACACGACTATCTCTCGAGTTTACGGAGAATAGTCAGAGAAACTGAAAACATCCAGTGTGAAGCAGGCTTTTGGTTGTTACTGTGAACGGTCAGAGGATAGAGTAGGATAGGGTAGATTGTTTTGAGAAATAGCAACAGTTCCTTTCCTCACTGGTTTGCTGTAAAGGAATGAAGAATACTATATCTGAACACACAACATCTATGGCGTGTCCCTATTTAATATATAATAAAAGAATATACAGTAAAAATTCTGTGTTAAAGATATACTCTATAAAGATATAGAGTTTTTGCGTTTTAGTCCAGTTATTTTTTTACGAAGTTTTTGGTTTTTATTGTGATAGTAATAGCCTGGTCGTGCCACACCATAGTACAAATTACATTTGGCACTAAGGTTTGGATGTGCGAGGGCGACAATAGCTCAGTTGGTAGAGCATTGGCCTTCAGGCCTGAAGGTCGTGGGTTCAATTCCCACCTCTACACCTTCTCCATCGACTCCCTCTGATGACTGCTGTCGTTGTGTCCTTGGGCAAGACACTTAACCCCACTTTGCCCAAAGCCCCCCACTGAAAGATCAAGGCTATGCTCACACTCAGAGAGCAGCCGTCCTCCTGTGGACTCACCACCTGCAGAGGGTCATCTGGTTCTGGTCAAGGCTGGTGCTATGAGACTTGGGTGGCATCTCTGACTGCCACCCCCCTGACCCAGAAATGGATTAAAGGATAGAAAATGGATGGATGGATGGATGGGTTTGGATGTGCTCCATTGAGTTCTGTTAACAGGTGGGAGGGGTTAACTCCTTTTGCAGATTGAAATGATTGGATCCGAGTTTACCGTCACAGATGTAATGCGCCTGAGTGAGTTGTTAGCATTTAGCATTTAGCCTAGCTTTAGCCATCTCCTTTGCCGCTAACGGAGCCCGTGGGGAGTAGCACCACAATTTTTGCCAGTGATTACAGACCGCAATACTTTACTATCGCATTCTTTGCCATTGCCAAACTACAACCTGCCCGTTTGACACAAAGTCTTGACATCACCCACAACTAACCACAAGACCCGCCTCCCGCGCTCGTTGATTGGTCGGAAGGTATTCAACCGATTGTAATCGCTAACACAGGGACCAGACCCAGACGTTACATGCAGTGAAATGATGATTGAGCGGAGTGTACGGATGGCTAAGGCCATGCTAGCTCAGTGATAAAATATCATAATTCTTCTCAATTATCTGTATTACTTTTTACAAAGTCAGATTTTACTTTCAGACAATGAAAAAATAAATGTATATATTTTTTAGGGCGGGGACTTTAACGCGTTAATTACGATTAATTAACGCCACAAAAATTTGCGCATTTTAATCACATGTGGTTTTCTCCTTCGCGGAACGTTGCTTACTGGATGAGTTTCAGATGGGCCAATTGTACTGGAGCACCAACTCGAGCTCCGTGACTTTTCTTGTTCAAAAGTACATTACAACAAGCATAGACCAACTAAATCTGAGTGAGTTAGAGACGGGAAAGAGTGCCGTGTATGGAGCAGTGGGGGCGGGTCCCAGCTCAAAAGTGGCCAAAATGACGTGTGCTGACATGCTTGCAATACCACCCCGGGCCGATGGGGGTGGACCCAGAAGAAGAATTAGCCAATGCTAACATATAGCATTGGCAGACCTCTCAAAAACGTCTTTAAAGGATGGTCCAAAAGTTGGCTCTTGGCCCAAAGCTCCGTTCCACATGTGTGTCAATGCTGAGGGGGGTGGATTTTTTTGGTCCACTCTAGTTTACTTGCTGTGAATTTTTGAAGTGTCTCGTTCAAATGAATGGAGTTGCACCGGCTGACGCATGCGCGGATGTGTTTTTTCATAATTTTCTTGTGGGCGGGACCACTCGCGGCCATTTTGAATAGCTCCAGTAGAGCGCATTTTTTGGCCAGAACGGCGGAGATAGGCGTGACTCTGTCCGTTAATATATACAGTCTATGGTATGGAGCTATGGACTCTGTGTGTGATGAGGAGCAGCGAGCGACTCCTGTGAGCGGAGGTGAAGGAGGCGAAGGAGGAGCAGCGACACAGGTGTGAGCTGCTATTGGTGCTATTTTAGTTTGAATGCACACATCAAAAACGTATTATAAGCTTTAGTGCTCACTCGCAGTGGATTTTGGGCTTAAAAAGCGTATGTCGTGGACAGAGTGTGTGGAGGCAATGACAGATACGTTATTTGATGGGAAAGAAGTCCGTCTGATCCCCTTATCATTCTCAATGAACTTGTGTTGCTTAAGCTTATGTATTGACAAATATTTATATGCGATTAAAGTTCGATTAATTGCGATTAATTAATCACAAAGCCTCTAATTAATTAGATACAAAAATGTAATCGAGTCCCAGCCCTAATATTTTTACCACAGATGCATATTCGGCTCCTATGGTACGAGTACAGTATCGACCCAATACCAATATTGGTGCATCCCACTTTGGACATGTACAGAAAGCACAGCTGCCCTGTGGCAGACTGGCAGAAGAGAGGCCGCCTTTATGTGCCGGAGGTTGCATCTCGGCACTGTCACCTCCGCTGACAGTTCTCGATGAGGAGTACCAGTAGCTCTACTCCGAGCTCTTGCTGTGTGACTGAGGTCCTTACCCCATCTGTATGCAGTGCGGAGGCATTTTAACCACTTAAATCCACATCTTAAATTCATGGCCGTTACCCAAAGCAGCTGTTTTGGCTCAGCATCACTGCAGATGCTGGACTGATCCCTCTGTCCATCTCAGGCTCCATCCTTTTCCTTAAGCTTGTGAACAAGACCCAAAGATACTCTACTTCTCCACCAACTTGACGGAGGCCAACATGCACAGGTCTGACTCAGTTTTATTTTAATGGATATTGACAATATAGACAATTACAGACTGCTATTTGACCAAATTGTGTACTTTCTTACCAAACTTCACAAAGAGGACCCCCGTCGTGGAAACTACTCCGTGAGCGTTTGTTGCGACGCACTGGAAGTATCCCGTATCCGTTGTGTCCAGATTCCGTATACGTAGTCGCGATCCGTACACCATGGAGCGATACGACACTCTGCGCGGCTCTTGTACAACGGGAGCATCATTTTTCAGCCATCGTACAGTGGGAATAGGGTTGCCAGATACTCGGCAAAACAGCTCAGCTGTGTGGCCCAATGAAGTGGTTATGTTGTTCATGGGAGCTTCAAGGCGGATGAAATAATGCCCTGTGAAAAAAATGAGAACACATTATTTATGAGGGATAAAGATGGTGAGAAAAGGGCAGACGATGTACAGTACAACGTGAAGCCAACAGAGGAGATGTGTCAAGTGTGGAGGGATTGAGATGGGAGTTCCAACAGGAACAGGAAAAATATTGCTTAACACACAGGCCAAGGGGAAATGCATAAATCAACTCACACTTTCGGAACTGTACAAGAGCCGGATATTAAAATGATACACTACAACCCTTTGTATTGTGGACACGAGTGGGTGGAAGAGTCATATTATGCTTGCATAAAAGGCACCACCACCTAACAATATTTAATACCTCCATGGAAGTCAATGTAACGGTGTTCATATATTGCTAATATAAAAGGACATATACAAAAATTAAGGTGTAAGAAAAAGGGTTTACTACTTCCAAAACTGCAAAAAATCTGAAAAAAAGTAAGTGTTTAAAATAAGTGGTATTTACTTATTTCCTGTTACTGTAGTCCCGTGCTGATGTCAGAAGTGCATGAATGGCTATCTCAGTATTTAAAAAAAAAACAGGAATATGCTCAATTCAATATGCAAATGTTTAAAATAAAATAAAATAAACATCTCAATTGAAGTTACATTCTACTTAGTTCGAGCACTTGCTATACTGTGGAATATTCCAGATGATACTTTTATTTATGGTCAGGGTAGTTCCACACTTGAATCATGAAGTGATACAAGGCAACTTTCTGTGGCCTGCATCAAACAAACATGATGTATGGAAAAGGTGGGATAGTGCATGTTTGGTGGTCACAAAGAGATCTGGAGGGCCACCTAAGAGTTTAATGTTCAGAGAAAACATTGGTCTGGAAAGTTCCCCTGACCCCGTCTCAGGTATGCAGAAATGCTCCGGAGCAGCCAGAGTAAACAAGGGAAGAAAACACATGCGGATCCAAAACTACTCCAAATGTAATGTGTAATGAGGATTAATGAACAACTACACGGAGATTACCTTTCAATAAGCACTGCTCGTGGAATTAGATGCAGACCCACATTGTACAAGTTGCAGCTAAAATAAAGATAAAACATCATGGAGTGCTCTCTCTGTCAGTTTCCCTTGCACAAAATCTATTTTGTAACAGTCAAATCAAATCACAGTTTCTAATATAATCACTCATGACAAATACTAAATAACAAAAAACTACAAAACTCAAGAAACTCAAAACGTCAAAGGCATAATTAAAATCACTTAATTCCGATTCCCTGATTCGACCGTCATGAGACAGGTTAGTTTTACCCAGCTGATGATGTGTTGTTGCAATAGGTATAGTTTACATATTAGTTTATTTACATATTCCCAGGGTATAGGTATATTCAGGTACATGTGAACATTTACCTTTCAAAAAGAGGTCACAATTAAAAACTATCATTCTTGTGTTACTATGTAATATAATGGTGAGGTACTATAGGTGCAGTGCTGAGAGATGGGCACATTCATCTTATGAAGTATTTGGACTTAGCTGAGGTTCTCAGGGTTCTCCATACAAGGACATCACTGTCTCTGCTCTAATCTATGCGTCTGTCCACTGGTGCTCATTAAGAGTACAGCCCACTTTCACACCATCACTCTCTACACTGAAGGTGACTTTATCCTCCCACATCCAGTGGACACACTTGAAAAATGTCGCTTTGCATTATTCAGTCTGTGAAAACAAATCCAGGCATACGATGCTCAAAATGAAAGCTTCCTATTGTACTTCGTATTAGGCCATAATAATGATATCACAAACACACTTGCAGTTGAGTTTTCAAAAATAAATGCTCAAATCATGAGATAATTCAACATACAGTAATTCAAAGTTGCAAAACAAAACAGAAACAATCCTACAAGGCACTATAAATAAATAAAGTAATCACAGTACATTGAAAAGAGTGATGATACAATCCTTCAGTAGGAGTGTTTGATTTTATTGAATGAGCGTCGAAGCATTCCAGCGTGTAGACACTGGAGCCTGCCTATAATCTATGTCAGTCGCTCTTTTCATAACTTGTTTACACAGCCAGTGTAATTCAATCTGACTATTAAGATGTTGTTAGTATTTATAATCACTCAAAATGTCATGAGTTAGATAGAGGGACTTACAGGGCCGTATGGGCCTTTTCTTTGCCACGTTTGCATGTTCTCCCCCTGTCTGTGGGCTATTGGGTTTCTGGTTTTCACAATCAACCTACAGTAAAACACACCTTTGGGGTGTGATGAAACATTCAAAGGCCGGTGTTGGCAATTCACAGAACGGGTGTACGGCACCTTTCTCCAATCAAGAACAATGGACCTTCCATTTCGTGGATTTTATAAAATATATTTAAATTGGAAAATCATAATCCATAATTCATAATAATAATAATAATAATAATAATAATAGGACCTTTACTTAAGTTTCAAACTAACAATTTTTGTTTTGTTTTTTTGTTTTTGTTTTTTTAATCTTTAATACATTTACAAAACATTAAAACCTTACAAAGATTGAATTGAAAAGAAACCCGTTACATTTCCATGGTCACATGACCGTTGGAATTAAATACCCCCTCCCACCCCAGAGTCTAATTATGAGGAAAGTTTTCAAACAGTTCATCCCTGAGCCTCACCCTGAGGTGCTCCTTGAATTCCCCCAAAGTTTCACTAGAGACACAGTCAGAGTCCAGCATGTTCCACATTCTGGTGGCCAGAGTGAGACACGATCTCTGCATGATATGGGCGCTGGGCAGTGTCCCGTCCGGAAAAGCACAGCTGACCCAGCGCACATGGTATGGCAGGACTCTTTGTGTGGGTCGGTATGGTCCCAGTGCCGCAGGCGAGAGTCCATGGAACAGTTTAAAACCAAAACATGCAAGAGCAAAGTTCCGCCTTGTTTGCAAGGATGTTAGTCCGAGCGCTCTATAATGCTCTGCTGTCAACTGGGCACGATACGGCAGATTTAGAATAATGCGCATGCATCTTCGTTGGATGCTCTCTAAACAGTTTATCAGAGTCTTTCCTATGCCACAGATCAGCACTGAGCAGTACTCTAGTCGGGATCTAATGTATGCTTTATAGATCCGAAGCAGGATTTCTTTACTTTGTGGTGGTAGCTTTGATTTTAAGAGCCTCAACACAAACATTTCCTTTCTAGCCCCTTTACACAAGTCCTCAACATATCGCTTCAAATTTCAAATCACTGCTGATTGTTATCCCCAAGTGCTTTGTCTCACTTGAGAAGGAGATGTTGTGGCCCTCAAACATGACTTGACCATCTATTTGTTTATTAACTGGCGCTTTAGCAAAGCACAAGCATACAGTTTTTGAAGGGTTGAATTTCATACCCCAGGTGTTGACCCAACTGCTTGCAGCAGCCAATGCACAGTTCAAACCTGCAGCCGCGAGGGCTGGATATGCACTAGTGACAGTTAGTAAAGTGTCGTCCGCATATGCAGCTGGTGTAACTCTTATACTGTCTGGTAACAGCCCAGAAAGCTCCTCTAATGCATTTAATAAATCATTTAAGAAGATAATAAACAGTGTTGGAGCAATAACACTGCCCTGGGGTACTCCAGACTGCACTTGAAGAGGTGAGGAAAATAACGACCCAACTCTTGTTTGTTGCTGGCGAATACTTAGATAGTCGCGTATCCAGGCAAGCATTTTTCCTTGGACTCCAAATGCTGGAAGTTTGTGTAAGATAGCCTTGTGTGGAACCGATGTAAATGCATTACTTAGGTCTAGGAAAGCTGCAAGGCAGGTGTCCTTTTTTTCAGCAGCGTTTAACCAAGTGTGGTAGTCCAATGCCAGTTGGTCCAGTGTAGAGTGTTTTGGCAGGAACCCAAATTGGTGCTTTGATATTAATCCATTGTCCAAGCAGAATGCCATCAGCTTGTCATTTATAATGCTCTCTAGGATTTTCACAATGCACGAGGTCAAAGATATTGGTCTGTAGCTGAACGGGCTTGATCTCTCGCCTTTACGCTTGTAGACTGGTGTCACATAAGCAGATTTCCATATTTGGGGCAGTTTTGATGAGAAAAACGAAAGCTTAAAAAGGTGAGCGAGTACAGGTGTTAATTCAGCAGCACAGTTTTTAAGGAAAACATTTGGGACACCATCAGGCCCACTCGCTTTGTTAACATCAAGCTTCATTAACTTGCTGTACACACATTCAGGGGATATCTGTACATCAGTCAATATACCATTCTGGGTTTGAGTTAAAGGGCTGTCAAACAGTTGCTGTTCATCATGACCACTAGTGGAATAAAGGTGATTTAACATGTTTGCTTTTTCAGCATTATTCACGTATGATTTCCCCTCATATACTAAGTCAGGAATTTTATCACAAGTTTCAGAGAATTTATATAGCTCTGAAAGCATGCCCCAGTAGTTTTTTGGGGAGTAGCTTGATGCCAAGTTCTGAGCTCGCTGTGCATAGTGTAAACGCTCGATATGTTTGACTTCCTATAGGCATTCAGGTTGTGATCACTTCTAGATAATTTGAAGTCTGCCCAGTGTGCTTGCTTCAGTGATCTCAGCGTTCTGAATTTGGATGTAACAAAAGGTAAATTCTGCTTTCCTGCGTTAGTCTGACTTCGCTTAGTGGGTATGAGAGGACTCAATATTGAAGTCAATATGGCATAAAAATGTTTGGCTGCTGTCTCTGTGTCTTCACTAGAGTAGACTGTGGCCCAACTGTGGTCCCTCAGTGATTGGCAAATTTGTGTCCAATTCTTGATAAAAGTATAGGTTAATCTTTTTATTTAAAATGTTGGTACATGCTTTTAAACCCTTACCCTTACCCAGCTGACTTAAGGATAATCTATTACCAGCTGTGGGGTGGGGGGACTTAATAGCTCATGATGGTAAAGCTGGAGATGGATGTCTGGGCACCGCTGTGCAGTTGTAAAATAGAATACAAAAATGAATGAGCGGAATGCATGTTTTAATACCTTGACATGCCATCACAAGCTAATATCAACACTAAGTCATGAGCAGCGTTCACAACCACAACCACAATATTAGCATGTACAGGGATCCCTTTGCTGATTGACTGCTCTGATGGTGCAACATTGATATTTGGGGTAAGTGAAAGCAGGCCCTCTCTTAAAAACATCTAAGCCTGCCAAAAACCACAGGGTCACACAAACTGACGGAGTTTATCGCAGGTTCATTAGTGGATGGAAAAGAAAATGTCTGCTGGAGCTGGGTGCCATCGCACTTCATTAGCTGGCAATAGAACGAGCCGTAAAAGCAGCATGGGGCGAGGGCAGGAGAGCAAGGCCAGTCTTCATCTACACTAAACTGTGTGATGGAAGGTGTATTCACTGTTGCTCAAAAGACGTACATTCAAGGAAAAAGGCATTATGTTAGTTAAATAACTAGGGCTGTCAAACGATTAAAATTTTTTAGTTGATTAATCGCACAGAAATGGTGAGTTAACTCACGATTAATCGCATTTTTAACTTTCTATTTCAAATCCAGTCCAATTGAAGTTAAATGAGATTATCAAACATAATGACACATTGTCATTCATACCAAATGTACTTAAATCTGTTTGCTTTTGGGCAAAACCAACATGAGCTGTTAATGAAAGGGGGAAATTTACATACCCCAGCTTTAATTCAGCGTTTCAGTTTAGTTTAGTTTCAGGAGGAGACAGGGACACTCCTGCGCTGTATTTGCGCGCACAGGTTACGCACAGGTTGCAAAGACACGAACACAACATGCAGACAATAGTTCTGTGGCGTGTTTGGTCTTATGACCATGTTACCGCGGCGCCACTCGCTCACAGCCGCTCACAGCCGTGTTGTTGTGAGCGGCTCACAGTCAGAGCGGCCACGGAGGAGGCGGACTTCAGTTCACAGCAAAAAACAGCCCCGCGGTGGCGCGCGTATTCTTTTAAAACATGAATCCCCAGAGGGCCTACCTGCTCTGATGCCATCTCACACGCAGCATTCTGAGTGATATTATGGATAAATGGGCGGGTCATTCGGACATGCGTTAATGCGTTAATTTTTTTTTAACGCGTTAATGAAAAATGTAATTAACGTGAGTTAACGCGATAATTTTGACAGCCCTAAAAATAACACAAAATTATTATTTATAAAATCTCAAATTTATAAAACCACATGAAAATGGAATTCCATAATAAAGTGAATGGTTTTCACATGCATGTGTTTTTGGCCTCTGTCACATCTTTAGATGAATGGGTGAACAAGAGGGAACCACTCTCACTCAGCCAATCAGTGATCAGCCCAAACAGCCCATTGCTCTTTCATACTGTAAAGTCTGTAAAAGGTGCTTTCTGTTAAGACAAAAAATAAACATGATGAAAAAAGTAGGTACCCAGACTGTAAGACACTCAAATAGGCTAATAGTTAAACTTCAATTCACTCTGTGTCAGCCTGATGCTATTTTACAAGTAAGGTTGACACAAATCTAAGGAGCTGCATTGCTGTCGTCAATCTTTTAGCATAATCAATTCAACTATCTAGAAACACAAGTCTAAACCATGAAACCGACCTACAGGTGTTTTTGAATCAATTATGAAAAAATGCATTGGCCCACTATAATGTACTGTGTATGATACAAGCCAACTAGTGTCCTAGTTGGCAGGGCTAAAGCAGAGCCCTGATGGCAGGGCTAAAGCAGAGCCCTGCCATCAGCCTTCACTGGTCCAATCAAACGCTGCAATATGCAAAAATAGCCTGCCCAAGCGACCGCAACAAAGCCCTGTGGACATGTTCACTATGGGATAAGTTAAACAATAGCATGAATTTGCACTGATCCAGCTCTATGTTAAATTCACTGCATATAAATATCCAGTTCTGCACATGCACCAGGAACCAAAAAAGTAATAGTAAGCACCAGTTTTAATAGTAGTAAAATGTATTGATATTAGTAGTATGAGCAGTAGTAGTACTTCTACAACATCTATCAACAACACTTCTACCTTCAGCAGTAGTACCACTTCTACAATTTCAGAATCAACAAACTTCTAGTGTGAGCGACCAGTTCATGTGCCATGGAGAAAGGAGTTTTTCAAACGTCTACATGAATTCCGCTCAAACTCGTTCCTCAGATGATAAAAAAGCACTGCAATCAGCTCTGATATGGACGTTCAGAGTTGGATGAAAAACAGATGCAGGGATTAAAAAGACAAATCCAGATATACTTATTGTTGGACAACATATTTAATTTTGTTGTGGAAAGTAAAACTGTCAGTGTAAGGTTGTTTTGATGCTATGGACTGATGCTACGGACTGGTCTGTGTTTCAGTCAGAGGACGTCAATGAATTCTGTGACGCTGTGTCTGGATACATACGCTTCTGTATTGACGGCTGTGTCCCACAGAAGGTCATTAAAGAACATTTTAGTCAAAACCCTTGGATGAAGGCGGAAGTGAAACTGAAACTTCAGGAGCGTGCGTTGGCGTTTCAATCAAATGATACAGTTGCTTATAAGCTATCCTGTTACTCATTGAAACTTTCTATTAAATCTGCAAAGCGCAGTTACGGGGACAGGTTAAAGAGTTATTTTGAGGAAGATGACCCTCGGCGCATGTGGAACGGTATTAAAGCCATCACATCGTGGAAACCTAGCGCTGGGAAAACTGCATCTGTCGGCCAAGCTCTGCCAAACGAGCTGAACACGTTCTACTGTCGCTTTGAATCCGCTGATGCCTGTCCTACTGTATTCCCTGAGTGTTTCAATCAAGGTACCTTCACCGTGACTCAGGAGGAAGTCAGGCGTGTCTTGTCCAGGACCACAGTCCGGAAAGCCCCTGGCCCGGACGGCATCCCTCCTCATGTCCTGAAACTGTGCGCTGTGCAACTTGCCCCTGTGCTAACAGACATTTTCAACCTGTCGCTAAGGAACTGTACTGTGCCGAACTGCTTTAAAGAGTCGACCATCATTCCAGTTCCTAAGAAAACTCCTGTGACATGCCTGAATGACTATCGTCCTGTGGCCCTCACGTCTGTTCTTATGAAAACTTTTGAGCGGCTTGTGCTGGACTTCATTAAGAGCCAGATTCCTGTGAGTGTTGACCCGCTCCAGTTTGCTTACAGACAGAACAGGAGTGTGGAGGATGCCATCTCCTTTGCTCTGAACTCTGTCTACAGTCACTTGGACACTAGTAAATCTGTCGCGAGAATGCTTTTCATCGATTATAGCTCTGCTTTTAACTGCCTTGTCCCAGGTAAACTGATTGAAAAGCTCATATCTCTCGGTTTAAGTGTTGCCATGTGTAAATGGATCTATAGCTTTTTAACTGACAGATCTCAGAGAGTGAAAATCAATGACTGTTTTTCTGATGTTGTTTCTGTGAGCACTGGATCTCCTCAGGGATGTATTTTGAGTCCTTTGCGTTTTACTTTGTACACTCACGATTGTGTGTCCTCCTCTGACTCAAACTTGATCATCAAATATGCTGATGACACCACCATCATCGGTCTCATCAATGACAATGATGAATCCTCTTATAGAGCAGAGATACAAAATGTGGTTCAGTGGAGTCAAACTAACAACCTCCAGTTGAACGCATCGAAAACATGTGAACTGGTCTACGACTTCAGTCGCAATAGTTCTCATTTGCCTGTCGTAATCGACAACTCCCAGGTGCAGATCGTAGAGGAGTGCAAGTTTCTGGGTTTAACTCTGTCTAACGACCTGAAATAGGTTAAAAACACTGACCGAGTCGATAAGAAAGCTCGTCAGCGTCTCTACTTTCTGCGGAAACTTAGAGAATTTACCACTAACTCTAAGATTCTGCTTAACTTTTATCGCTGCACCATTGAGAGTTTACTTGTTGGTTCTGTGTCTGTGTGGTTTGGAAACATCACAGATAAAGAAAAGAGATCTTTAAACAAGGTGCTCCGCTCTGCAAAGAAGACTGTGGGCTGTGAGCTTCCTGTTCTGGAGGTTCTTTATAAATCCAGACTTTTAAACAAAGCTCTTAGGATTGTTAATGACTCTTCTGGCCACCCTGGGAAAGCCATGTTCCAGCTTCTTCCCTCTGGCAGAAGATATCGCTCTCTGAGATGCAGGACATCTCGTTACGCTAACAGTTTTTATCCCAAGCTGTTATCAGTGTGAACAGAGCACTTTAATGATTTGCACTTGTTTTTAAACTGTTTTAGTCGATTGATTTCACAGTGACATTTGTTTACTGTTTTATTGTTTTATTTTTGACTTTTAATGTTGTTTTATGTCTGTATTTGTCTGTGCACACTGGAGACTTTTTGCTAATGTATTCCTATGTGGTGATTTTACTGCAAATGGCAAATAAAATTAACTGATCTGAATCTAATTTGTATGGGGTAAGAGCTGAATTGACATGTTTTAAACAAACGTGTGTGTGTGTGTGTGTGTGTGTGTCTGTGTGTGTTATTGCACAAGTATCCCAACATGTCATATTGTGAGCATCTATTGATTTATACTTCTTCATGTTTCCATGGAAATGACCCATTGCATGATCATGGGACAATGTTCCACAGTATGGTTTTACCTTTCTTAGTTCATGGAATCATGCAGGTCACATGTCACTTAAAGCTGGAGAGAAACATCAGCTACACACAAGATGGAACAAACAAAGGTCAAATTGTTAACAAGGACAGGGCATTTCACTGTTCGAGCCATGTGCCCAGGGGGGATTGATTTGGAGCTAAGCAGCAGAGTTTGGGGAATATAATAAAACTACATCTAGTGATATTTATCGTAACCATAAATGCAAGTCCATTGCATTACAAATGCAAGTAAGTATTTATTTTCCTAGCAACATGTGGCCTAAGCCTAATTAAGTGTTCATTTACCATCACTGCTGGTATTCCACGTGGCAGCAGCCATCACACCGTGGTCTTGGAGCACATCAGACCCTGGAAACAGACAGAATTGACATTTCTGTTAACCAACACCGTTACTTGAATGTTGTTGATTATTGCCAAAAATGCAACCATAAAGCTATTGGACTACTCAATGTCAGCCATGCATGTTTTACAAGGCATTTTGGGTGGTAAAGAAAGTGAGAAATAAAATATTTAAAATCTTTCCATAATCCAGCCGCTCACTGTATTTGACTTGTTTATATGAGACAGTGTGTATTAATGAAGCCAGTTTCCAGTAGACAGAGGCAATTACTAACATATTTCTTGTGACTAGTGGCTGATCGCTCTTTTCTTATTGTTTTATCGGCTCAACACTCTACAAGTACTTTTATGTCTCCTTCCCAGGCTTCTGCATATGTTTGTGGTGACATGATGAATGAGGAACAGGCTGGCAGCCAACTGGGGCCGTATACTGTATATACATAAACATACATGCAAAAACAAGTATATAAACAGGGAGTTGTAAGTGCTGGTGGGCTGTGGAGAGGCCAATGGAATGGGACCAGGAGCCTTCAGGGTCATGCTAATTGGGTGATAATGTGGTGCTTCACACGTGCTGCGGGTGAGTGGGTCAACTGTGTGCTCTGAGGACTGGTTATGAGCCTCTGCACCTGTTAGAAAAGGAGAAAGGACTGGGATACATCTGAAACTTTATACGACAGCCATGATGCTGCTGTGTGGATTTTAAAATTGGGTGGGAGTGGGGCAGAGAAGTTAGCACTTTTGCTTCTTAACAAGAAGGTCCCAAGTTTGAATCCCGGTCAGAATAGAACTTTCCTGAGTGGAGTTTGCATGTTCGCATGTCTTCATAGGTTTCCTTGGGGTGCTACCGTATTCTCCATCTATGAGAAAAAAAGAGAATCTGAATTCCCAATTGGACTTTTCTAGTTGAATAAAAGTTAGATTGCTGCTCAACGCGGCCCGTGTGTAAACAATAAATATGTTTAACTGACAATGACATCAGTAATTTATGTATTTAAAAAATACATATATTTAAAGAATATCTGCACGTTCACCCTCCATGGGGTGTTATCCCGCTCAGCTCAGATCCTCCACCAGAGGCCAGGGAACTTGAAGGTTCTGCTTACCATCTTTTCCCCTGCACATTTCTGGACAGAGATTTTGAAGGTTGTTCCAGGGATCTGCTCTAACCACTCCTCCAGCTTCAGGGTGAGTGCCCTGAGTGGACCAATCACCACGGGCACTACTGTCACCTTTACCTAAGCCCTCTCCAGCTCCTCTGAGTCCTTGGTATTTCGAGATTTTCATGCTCTTTTTTCCTGATATTACCATCACTTGGAATTGCCACATCCTCCACCACAGCTTTCCTTTGCCCTTTGTCTATCACCACGGTGTCTGAGTACAACATAAGGCAGCTAATGGGGATCTGACTAAAACAATGAACAGCGATACAACATAAATAATGCGTTCCTTGTTTGTCTTGCCATGCTCTGGTTGTTACAGAACTTCCAGACAGTGTTTTCACTCAGCTTCTCAGGTGCCAAGGTGAGATAGCTCTTTCTTGGCTGACCAGGATTCTTGTCTGAATGGTCTTAAAACACTGATACAAATTTGATATCACAATAAATATCTGGATTGAATTTGCAGGTAAAGATTAGCATTGTAATATAATTCGGCAATTGACCAATTTGTCGACAGCAAAATCAAAATAGCAGCTGTTGCTCATGTAGTTTACATCATGATCCTATTACAGATTCACAATATGTTAAGCACTGGTCAGTGCCATAAATTAGCATATGCTGTGGTCAACAGACCTGGAGACAGGTCGCTAAGCTGTTTTAGAGACATATTGTAGATTAAAGCAAACCTTAATACATCTCCTTTAAATACAGAAATTGGCACGAGATTTTATTGTTTCTTGGTAAAATGCAAAAAGGGAGGCTCGTTACCTTCTTCCACAGTTTTTTGGGATTAAACTGGGCACTGAACCATTTATGTAATTTCCTCCCAAAATCCCATTTCATTTTATTATCATCAGTCCAAGTCTATAATTCATGGAGTCATAGCCAAGACGACTTTTAGCCGCTTGTCTAAATTTCACAGAACAGCCACCAGTAACCTTCCCCAGACTCAGATACAATCTCTCCTCATTGGTTTTATATTAGAAAGGCCATTATCTCAGCTGTCAAAAATGCTGGACTCAATTTCCCTCCCAAGAGCTTCAAAGAAAAGTATAATACACGAAAGTTGTGCATAAGGTTTCCATTGCCTGTCAGAGGTGATATGTTCAAACGTCATCGGACATTTTGTTGTTGGCAGCCACAATCAGACAGTGAATCGGGTCACTTGCTAAAGCCAAACATCAAATACAGAAGTTCCACTATGGTCAATGTTAAATAACATAAATATCAAATATTTTAGTGCAAATATTGTGTTAAATCAACCTTTTTTTTCCCTTGACATTGCATTGACGGTCACTTCTTTCCACAGGGAGTTCTAAAATGAGCCACAAATAGAGAAACATGGCTGTCTAGACTTTAAATCTTTTCTCACAGAGCGGCTTGTGATCGTCGTCCAGCTGCATTTGGCTCCTGATGATAAAAATCACACTGAGAAGCAGAGAATTGAGTCAGACTCAAACTGTCACTGTATGATATGGGGACTGGTGCAGACGAAGTCCAGGACGGATGAGCAGAGGAAAAAGTCTATGCCAACATGCACATCATAGATTGTATATCGGTATGACAGTGCAAACCTGCTTGCTTCATCAAGCTATTAGGCCTACATTTTGCTCCAACTCACTTTGGCTTTCATTCACTAAAGTTAACCTAAGCAACCATTCACACACATCCATGGTTTAGCACTCAACCTAATCGCCGTGTTTTTAATTGTTTAATGTGAATATGACTAATCAGGTGCTTTCTGTTCCCAAAAAGAAGTAGTAAGAGTGAGTAGAGTTGCATTGTTACCGATTGCCTTGTTGGTTACTAGATTGTTGCCATTCCCAACTTATTAAACAATCTTTCCCCGTTTGAGTTAGCTCTAAATGGCTTCTTTTGTGATAAGGCAAACAATACGGGTGATATTAGCCCTCATTTGGCCCACTCTGTATACAGTCTATGCACACACACACAAGGATAGAGTAAACACAAAAAATATACCAAAAATCTTTCATAAACATTTTTCATGTCAATGCATATTGTTAGCCGTCCATTTCTATATTGAATACAAAAGTGGTTACATCTGGATGTTTTAATGGTCTAACTTTTTTTGCAGCTATGAAACACTGTGTGGTTCTCTAGTTCTGTTAATGAAAATAAATATACAACACTATCATCATTTAGGGCGACAGTAGCTCAGTTGGTAGAGCATTGGCCTCTAAGCCTGAAGGTGGTGGATTCGAGCCCACCAAAGACCTACTTCACGACTCCCACTGATGACTGCTGTTGTTGTGTCGTTGGGCAAGACACTTAACCCCACTTTGCCTGAAGCCCCCGCTGAAAGATCAAGGCTCCTGTGGACTCACCACCTGCAGGAGGATCAGTGAGGGGCTGGTGCTCTGTGTACTGGGTGCAGCTCTGACTGCCTGCCCCCCTCCCGACCCAGAAATAGATTAAGGGGAAGAAAATGGATGGATGGATGGATATCATAATTTAGTACGGGATGCATTGACCCTTAACCTCCTCAGTCTGCCAATACCTGAAATGAACAGATATAACAAATATACCTTTTCCCCTCAAATCACGGTAGAATTACTGTATTACAAAATTGGTCCAATTGTGTTATTGAACGGGTAATTTATCCTGAATAAACTACAAGCCAACTTTGTATGTGTACATTATTGATGTTCTATGTCTATCGAAGGCACCAATATGCAATTCCATTATTGTATTGGTTCATCCCTAAAATGAATACAAGCCTCTGTATGTAGCGTGGATGGAGGTAACACAACTTGTAACACGGTTATGTAAACATTTTCACAATTTGTTTCCTATTAGCCATTGTAAGCCTTTCCTAAAAAATTTTTTACATCTCCTGTTGAATTCCATAGCCACATTTTCCCACCATCATTCGGCCTATGTAAAGAATCCTCCTCCAGCTCTTATGAAAAATATTACCATCGCTCAGAGATCATCAATAGCGAACAAGACGCACAATCAGAGATAAGAAGCTCCACAAAGACTGCACTTCAAGAGCCACTTCTTCACTAATAACTACCTTTTCATGTCTTATTTGTCTATGCAACCTAAAAGGAAGCATTAAGGTGCTTATGTGATCATCTCCTCCACACTCACAGAATACAAAAAAGTAAACAATAAATCAAGCATTGCCAAAAACCAGGTCTCAAGATCCGCACAAGGATCTTGAGACTGCCTAAATGAGATATTACAGCAAATAGGATTTAGACTGAAAAAACCAGTGGAAAGTTACTATGTTGGCCCTCGGAAAGGGATTTAAGAATCAAAATTTCCCTGCCAAAAAGTTAAGGATAGGCTGCAGGAGCAGCGTAAGGATAAATATAGGGAAGAAGACATGGAAAAAGTCTCTGAAAAGACAAGAAAGTAAACTATAGGAGATGAATGCGAGCCAGTGTGAACTGAGGGTGTCGTAAAATATGCTTTTTAAGAATTTCCCACCAAGTAAAGTGGAGGTTTGTGTTGGCCAGACGTTTTATACGCTCTCATTTAAAGAACTGAAGAAATATACAAGCTGGACTTCAGAGCACTGACTGATGGACGACAGACAGATGGGAAGTCATTGTATGTTTTATGAGCCAGAAATATACAGTTAAACCAACATCCTATTTTTAGTCTTTGTTAGACAATACACTGTATTTAAATATACAAAATACATATTTTTTAAGCATCTCAAATCCATAAGGATCAATACTGACTGAAGTACACATTTAAAAATTAAATACAAAACAAAACTATAAAATGAATATTTTATTATCATAATATAAAAAAAAAAAAAATACTAAGAGGCTCCAAGGTTCTCAATTATACCCACAATGAATTTATTTTTACATTATCCATACTGATAGGGAGCTCTTTATTTGGATATATGCATTTACTTATTTTTCACCAATAAATGTAGTTGGGCTAATACACCCATGTGTCCGGAATACAAAAATTAAATATAGAGGTTTACTTGTTCTTCCACCTATTGTATTATATTTGATATAGTATCATTGCTACAAGTAGAACACAAAGGTCACAATACAAGAACATTACCCGAGCTAAAGTAAAAGGAGATAATGATGTGGAAGTGCTGTGTTTTCTGTGGCAGCACCTGTGAGCAGCAGAGTGTGTGCAGGTGTCTGCCCCACAAACAAGTCAACCGTAAAGTGTTCCCACATCAGCGAACGACTTCACCAGAGAAGAAAGGAACCACTGCCACATTCTGCACTGTAACCTTAGAGGACTACAACAGGAGGCAGCTAGGAGCAGGCAGCAGGAGCAGGCAGCAGGAGCAGGCAGCTGGAGCAGGCAGCAGGAGCAGGCAGCAGGAGCAGGCAGCAGGAGCAGGCTGCAGGAGGAGGCTGCAGGAGCAGGAAGCAGGAGCAGGCAGCAGGAGCAGGCAGCAGGAGCAGGCAGCAGGAGCAGGCAGCAGGAGCAGGCAGCAGGAGCAGGAAGCAGGAGCAGGCAGCAGGAGCAGGAGCAGGCAGCAGGAGCAGGCTGCAGGAGCAGGCTGCAGGAGCAGGCAGCAGGAGCAGGCTGCAGGAGGAGGCTGCAGGAGCAGGCAGCAGGAGCAGGCAGCAGGCAGCAGGAGCAGGCTGCAGGAGCAGGCAGCAGGAGGAGGCTGCAGGAGGAGGCTGCAGGAGGAGGCTGCAGGAGCAGGCAGCAGGAGCAGGCAGCAGGAGCCGGCAGCAGGAGCAGGCTGCAGGAGCAGGCTGCAGGAGGAGGCAGCAGGAGCAGGCAGCAGGAGCAGGCAGCAGGAGCAGGCAGCAGGAGCAGGAGCAGGCAGCAGGAGCAGGCTGCAGGAGCAGGCTGCAGGAGCAGGCAGCAGGAGCAGGCAGCAGGAGCAGGAGCAGGCTGCAGGAGGAGGCTGCAGGAGGAGGCTGCAGGAGCAGGCAGCAGGAGCAGGCTGCAGGAGCAGGCAGCAGGAGCAGGCTGCAGGAGCAGGCTGCAGGAGCAGGCAGCAGGAGCAGGAGCAGGCTGCAGGAGCAGGCTGCAGGAGCAGGCTGCAGGAGCAGGCTGCAGGAGCAGGCAGCAGGAGCAGGAGCAGGCTGCAGGAGCAGGCTGCAGGAGCAGGCTGCAGGAGCAGGCAGCAGGAGCAGGCTGCAGGAGGGGACGGGGCAAAAGGGGAGGGCAAGATGCTGCGTGTCAACTTAGGCCCCATTTGGACAATAGGCAACAGAGAACGACAGAAAAGGATCAAGTTGCAACATTCTTTTGCTTTAAAACACTGTTAACAAAGCAGACAATGGTAAATCTTAAATGTGGTACAAAGATGCTTTGTGAACTTTAAGTTTAAGTTGTGGATTAAAGTAATGTGAGCCATGTACAGAGAGGACTGAAGACGGATACCTAAAGCATGCACACATTTCTCATTGCAGTGAAAGTTATTGTCAAGAGTGATTTGTATAATCACAAAACCATGCAGAATGAAGAAAGGAGGTAGTTTAAGCCAAAAACAATAAACAAACCAAACCCGACACACAAAAATAGATTACGTTAAATACTGTTACACATTGTTCCTATAAATATGAACAAGCTAGAGCACCCCGCCAAGATGTGCAAATGAAACTCAAAATTCGGCACAGTGGCTGAGTGGAAAGCAGTCTCAGCAAGAAGGTCCTGGGTTTGAATCCCGGTCGGAACAGGGCCTTTCTGAGTGGAGTTTGCATGTTCTCCCTGCATACAATAGGTCTGGCATGCGCCTCCTGTACTGGCGACCCCTCTCTCTGTGTGGAGTGAAAGACAAATGCCCACAATTGTTAAGCGCTTTGTAACTCCAGTCTGTGAACGGCGCTATATAAATAAAGATTACTTACTTACTTAAAGTTGCAAGCTTCACTGAAAATTTCATAACAACACTCTGACTCTAACACATTGAGATATCTTGCAAAAAGACCATACATTGTGGTGATTACACAAACCCCTGATGCAATACAACAAAAATTATGTTGAGAATATTGTTAAAATAATGCCCTTTTGACTTGAGAGTGGCGAGTGTTGAGAGCACCCTTGTCAACTGGAACATGTCACTTGTCCCAGAATTATCTCACGGGGCAAAGTTGGTGTCACTGCCCACATTCTTGGGTCTAGTCTGCTGAGTGTGGCTGCCGCGATGGAAGCACAGGCCCTTGTGCACAAGGAGCTGATCTCTGACATTTGTGGTGGTGACATGCCAAACTACACTTTCCGAGCCACTATCGAGGGGATTTACTTGTCATCATTTTATGGAAAGCCATATTTTAAGTGCGTCGCAGAGTCTGCCTGAATTCAACCAATTATTTTTGAACTATTTTTGAACCATGATACAACCTCATTCCCTTCACCAAAAGCTTCTTTATTCTTTCACATAATAATATATATTTGTTAATTTCCATCACAGAACGTGGATGTTGAATCCTGGCGC